AGAAGAAGAAGGGAGCCGAGGAGGGGAGAGAGAGAGAGGGGACTGGCGATGGGAGGGAGGAGAGAAACCTCCAACTCCCGATACCTCAGGCGGCTATGGCCTCCGATACACTCAGTCGCCGCTGCTGCTGCTCCGCTCGCTGCTGCTGCGCTAATGCTGTGTAGCGCCAGCGCTGTTTCGTGCTGTACCGTACCGTACTTGTAGAATGCCGGTAGGTCGATGGCCTCGAAGTGAGGCCGGACCAGTACTAAGTACTGGTTCGAAGAGGACCGGCCTCAATGCTGCGAGGCCGTGGTTGGGGCTGAACCGTCCAGATCGACGATTCAGGTCCAACCGGAGAGCGGCAGCCTCAAACGGCGCCGCCAGGCCCGAAACGAAATGTCGTTTGGGCCTGGTCCGTAATCTGGTCCAAGTCGTGGCCTTTCGGTCTTCTCATAGTTGGCGAAGATAAGGGGTGCAGAAGTCTGCAAGTCTGCACTAGAGATCCACCGAGTGTTGTCAGGCGCACATTGCTTGAATGTGACTTTGTACTGCATTGCCTTGTTGCCGTACTTGCGGTGCGTGATGACTCGGTCCACTTCCTGATGTCCGTCCATAGAAGGCGGATCTTGTGATCGACGTCCGGGAAGCTAGTCAACTGAAGGTGGCGTGTAGATGGCCAGCTTCGATGCGTGGAAGACCCGATGCACTGTAAGGTGCGGTGGAATGTTGATCACGAAGGAAGGACCTGCGGGGTCGTCTCCAACGACTGAAGTGACTTCCCATGGTCCGAACCATTTCGGAAGGAGTTTGCGCGAAACGTCCTGCTCGAGCGCAAATTCCTCGGAGAGGACCCAAACAAGGTCTCCCTCGCGGAAAGGACATGGAAGTCGACGTCGGTTAGCCTGCTGCTGCATGCGGATCTGAGCCCTTTTGCATATTTGCGCGGGCTTTGATCAGCAAGTCCCAGTACTTCCTAACGCAAGCGGGAGAGCAAGGGACGTCTATGTCGGCAGCCTGTGGCAAAAGGAGATCAACGAAGATCCGTGCTTTCTCTCCACCATGATGTAGCTCGAATTGTGTGACGCAGATCGCAGGGTGCACCGAAGTGTTATAGGCGAACTCGATGTCGGGAAGCCGGTCGACCCAATCTTTCTGGTCGGCACGGATGAGCGTACGCAACATCATCTGAGCGGTCTGGTGCGCTCGCTCCGTTTGGCCATCCGTCTGCGGGTGTCGAGCCGAGCTCGGCTTCATTGTCGTACCGGACTCAGCCATGAGGGAAGTCCAAAAGGTTGACATGAAGCGAGTATCTCGGTCGCTCACTATGTCTTTCGGAACACCCTGGTTGGTAATCCAACCGGTGTGCAAGAGTCGTGCGAGCTCGGGTGCTTCAGCATGATACTTGCATGGAAGGAAGCGAGCATACTTGCTCAAACGCCAACGAATACCGTCATGGCCGTGGCGATCGCGGGGGAACGGGCCTGTTACGTCCATAGCAATGGAGAGGCGTGGTGCCCGAGGAATCGGCAACGGTTTCAGTTCGCCGAAGGGGACTCGAGATCGACCCTTGTTACGGTGGCAAACTGCACATGACTCCACGTACGTCGTGACGTCATGAAGGACGTCGGGCCATTGAAAACGCTGGCGGAGGCGTGCTAATGTGCGGTTCACGCCAAGGTGTGCCGAAAGTCGTGCGTCGTGGAATTCGCCGAGAAGACGAGTCCGTAAGATACGATCTTGGGGCACAACTAACAAGTCCTTTCCTCTCGTGTGAAGGAGAAGGAACCCGTCGGAAATCCGATAGTGGCTAGCCGGCGGGTGATCCGATGAGAGCTCTGCATATAGCGTAGTGTAAGTCGGATCGGACTTGTAGCCTTTGACGAAATGCGGTTGCAGATCGTCATCGAGGTCGAATGTTGTGGTCACAATGGCAGAAAAGTCGGGCCGTCGTAAGAGGGCGTCCGCAGCTTGATTGGCGGGACCGGGAATGTGGCACGGGKCAAAATCGAACTGGTCGATGTAATACATCCATCGACCGATCGTGCTAGTGACCGTGTCCTACGTTTTGTAAACGGTCAACGGATTGTTGTCCGTATTCCATTTAAAACGCCGACGGCCTAATCTTCCTTCTCTGTATCGTTCCAATTTTAATGGATGTCCCGAACGGCGAAGCCTACCGAACTTCTAAATACTACCCGACCTCCAAAAGGTGCTCTACCGTTTGGTCCTATCTGCCCACCTACCCGCTCCTTCTTGTTGCTGGCCTCCGAGGGCCTGGTCTACCCTACGTTCCCCGCTGCAACCTCACGAGTCTCACGGCCACAGGTAAGTACCGGCGTGAGGGTCATATCAGCACGTATGGATTCTCAGCCACACAGCAACACACACGGGATGACATCGATAGATGAGTAGTGCGGTGTGCGAGACACACGGCACGATGCTCGGGGCAAGCCCTGAGATCGATCCTCCTCAACGCTCCAAGAACTCAACTCGTTTCAGATTCCCCTTCTGCTCATAAAGCCAAACTTCGATGTCGGCATCACAGATGGAGAGAGAGAGAGAGAGAGAGAGAGAGAGAGAGAGAGAGAGAGAGAGAGAGAGAGAGAGAGAGAGAGAGAGAGAGAGAGAGAGAAGAACAAATCAAGACGCGGTGATGAAAAATTAGCGCTTAGTGCACTTCCATTCCAAAAAATAATGAGGAAGTATGGTCCATGGAAGCAACCGGCGTTCTCCCTACTGGTTTCCACCTCGGCGCCGGACTGAGGTCATCATCAGGGGAGGATGCAAGCGCATTGATTGTCACCACTTGTGAGCTCTTAAGATACTAAAAATAAGGAAAGAAACCAGCTACGTTTTCCATGACTTGTACATCCCGAAGCCCCCTCCATACCACGATCGTGAGTTTCAGAGGGATGGGTGGAAAAACAAAACCCAGAGTAAGCGGGGAAACCAGTACGGGAAAAAACAGCAGAAAAAACAGTACAGGAAAATCGGCGGGAAAACCGCACTCGGCAAGGTGGTGGAGAGCGTGCACTAGTGTTCATTGTAGAGCCCATGTGAAGAGCGAGAGGCCGAACAGGAGTGTAGGTCAGTGCCAGAGAGCAGATTAGTGGAAAAGGAGGGAACGGGGTGGCCAAAAGACGGCGGGTGAATGTAACCTGTGAGATATGGTGCGATGCTTGAAGACGGGAATGAGCATGTCAGGGTGCTAGCAGGGAGTACCGGGGCAATATTTTGAATGCCAGAAATCCATCGAAGTAAGGGCGTCGCCGCACGGGACACGAAACGAAAAACGAAACGAGTGCATCTTCCTGCAGAAAATGGCCAGGTTCATCGGTCTGCTATAAATAGCGACGAGTGTATTTTGCCACCTTTCGTGGGCAGATGCACTCGTTTCATTTTCGTTTCGTGTGCCGTGCGGCGAGACCCTAATACCGAGGATGAGGGTGTTTGCACAGTCGAAGGATGGAAAACGTTGGTGGAAGAAGCACGATGGAACGGGGGTCGCCAAAGGTTGGCGGTGAATGTTGCCTGTGAGGTATGGCGCGGTACTTGAAGACGAGAACGAGTGTGTCAGGGTGCTAGCAGGGAGGATCGGGGCAGTATCTCGAATGCCAGGAATCATCGAAGTGAAGAAAGAAAGAAAAGACAATATTAGGACCGAGATGGCGTGGAATAGATACATAGTGTGAACGGAATGTGTGAACGGAATCATTCTGGAAATGGAGGAACGTATGTGGACGAAGAGTTGACTAGGAGAGGTTAAAAACAGGAGAAGCGAGGCAAGAAAATAAAAGAAAAGAAAAGACAGCGCAACAAGGCAGAACAAACAACAAGGCATAAAAAAAACAAAGGGAAACAAGGCGGGGGAAAAACCAAGACAGGAAAAAACGGTGACGGGCCAGACAGCTACTTTCATGCTTCCCCTCTTGTTGCGGGCTATTATTTTCCGACCTTGATTTCTGCTTGCTGGACTGTAGGATCGTATCCCTGTCCCTGCTTCCAGCCCCGTTTCCAGGATTTCTCTCCATCCGTCGAGTCCTTGTCCATTTCCCGCAGATAACTCGCGAAGGATCCTAAAAAAACAATGGTTCGGGAATGCTTCGGGAATGCTTCGGGAATGCTTCGGGATGACAGCCAGCACTCACCGGAACACGGTAATCTCAGCAAAGATCAATCTAGCATATGTAGCAACACTCAGAAAACAGCAGATTCCTCAGTCTGCAATTTTTTTTCGCAGGTCATTAAAAAAAAATGACAAAAATCTAAAAAGGGTTTAGCTGAAATTAGCTCCTCTTATTGTCAAATTGTTGGACAGTAAAAAAACACAGTTTAAACCACCAGTACCTCTGAAGAGTGTGAACCTTTTGTGAAAGTTTTTTTCTCCAATGCCGCAATGCGTATTTTTTGACCGCTCCTCGCACTCTGGAACCATCCACGCGACAATGCCACCGGCCAGGCGCCACCAGCCATTTTGGTGTCAGACTGGCAGGCTAGCATCGTCACCCGAATAGAACGCCCGGTCATTATCGCTGCATCTGGACCGAAAGGTGTGCCAAATACAGCTATAATGACCAGGCGTTCTATTCGGGCGAAGACGGTAGCCTTCTGTGCCCCCCCTGAGTTAACCAGTGGATGGGTATGCAGGATACCTGGGATGGGTACTCAGTCTGGTGTTTATAAAGTTTTTCAGTTTTAAGGCCACTTTCAAATTAGTTTGTCTTGCCCTTTGATAAAACCACCAGTACTCGGCCCAGTTATCGGTCACGGGAAAAAGAAAAATACGAGTAGAAACGTTTCTAGTCGGATGAATTTGGGTGCTCCTGCAGTGGCCCGTACATTTCCAAAAATTTTGTGGCTTGTTAACGGGCACAATGTTAGGTAGTACAGGAGCACAGTTCCACTAGCAAAGGAGTAACGTAACCTGTGTCCCACAAACACCTGTGGGACATCTGCGTGACATCATCCGACCACCGATGCAGGAGAATCGGATGGCAGCGAAATTGCGAGGGATTTATATTCTGAAATGGTGTTTTTTTTTGTTTTTTTTTTGTATGTGTGCTTTGTCTTTTCAGTTCCCAAGAATGGGAGGCAGGAAAAGAAAATTGAAAGACTCATTTTGATTGGCAGCTCTTCAAAAGATATAAAAAAAAAATCAACTACTCGAGGGCATGGTTTTGAGTCTTGAGTCTTTTGACCGCCTTCTTTTTCCTTGTCAATTGCAACCCCGTCGAGTAGTATGCGAGGCTACGCCCGCTCAGCCCCTTCGGGGCCCTTTTTGCAGCATGTCGGCCGCCCTAAGTGAAGGCAGGCGCGACAGGCCCTCAGGGCCTCGATTTTCAGGGTGTCCCGCAACTGGTGAAATTCAGACAGTTGCGCTGTGCCAGTTGGTTGAAGGCGCCCAGGCCCAGGCCATATTTTGCAAATGTATCTGAATGGCAACCTGGGCCAGACACGTGAAAAAGGCCGTGAGCAGGCCAAGGGCAGTTGGGCACATGTAACCATCAGGCCCTGGGCCTGCGTGTGAGGTCTGGGCCTGTGCCTACCGGGGCCTACTGGAAGCTTCCTGGACTGGACGCAGGCAGGCCACTTCGATATAGGGAAGGGCCTGCCTCCTCATTCGGGATTCGGGTGCTGGCTGCATGCTGCGCAAGCGCTGCTGCGCTATTTGCTGGCTGGCTGGCACTCACGCTCTCACGGGTGAGCAGGAAGTAGCGGGCAGCCATAGCCGAGCTGCTCCGCTGTGAGCTGGGTGTGGCGCAGGGTGGTCCTTGGGTGCTAGTGGCATCTGTGTGGTGTGGATTGGGGTTGTGAGTGTTGCGAGAGACATACCTGGTGCTGGAAGCGTGCGGCATTGTCCGCTGTATGCTCGTACTTCGGGAACGCTGTTGATGTCATCATTCTGCTTCGTAGTATAGGCTAGATAGGATCTGCCACATGTAGTCTGGGCGCCGAGCGCCAATAGGATATCAACTCTGGTTCTTCGCTGATGATGATGGGACTACTTCAGCATTGTCAATGATGAACTCTTGGTGTGTTCTTAATTGGTGTATACTGACTCACATAGACTGACTCACATAGGTATCACTCCACACACATACAATCATGAGATGGTGGGGTCTGGGCCAAGCATAGACGATGCCCAGAT